AGTTCAATTTTGGTGGTTAGCTTTTCTATAGCTTGAGTCAGGGTTGTAAGTGGTATTTCTTTCGTCTCTTGGGGCATTTTCAACTTTGCAGGTGTCGCGACTTCCGTTGGGATAACAGGGAAATTTTTCCTCTTACCAGCGTTGTTAGTCGAGGTTTCCATCGGCGTGTAGTCGTGGTGACTCATGTTTGTTAGGCTCGAAGTAGCAGTTAGGCTGGCACCCGCTTTCCCATTCGGCATGTTCGGTCAAAAGTTATTTGAGGGCTCAGCTTATATTACACAACAGTGTATGTACTTTTTAGTCCGCTTTACTATTTTAAATTTGTTCGACGGTTAAAACAAAGGTTTTCAGGTAAATTTCGGGGCAATTGAACAGGAGCTTACAATGTGCAGCCTGTCCGGTCCACCATCTTGCCGGAAGTCTCGTCGAGGATCGAGGAGTGAGGAGGCTTCCTGAGGAGTCATAAGCGAGGATACACAGGTGCATCCTACGCGGAACTGTTATATTGACTAAACGTGACGCACGTGTCAATTCTCCTCCCCCTTCACATCGGTCACAATCATTTTAATTTACACTTTACCTTTGCAGTTTATATAAACCACACATCTCAGATATTTCAACAGTATAGCCTATCTTTATTATTATTTATTATGAATTTATTAAATAACCAAACTTCAACAACATAAGGGCAGATCCTTTTAGCGCTGCTGATGACACTGTGGAGTGACGCTCGAGTGATCAATTATTCCAATGTATATAAAAAAGCTTTTATTTGATTCCTCTGTCCTCCTTTACTTTCCTCGCTTCCTTCCCTCACGTCCTACAGGGGGTGGAGCTGAGACGCAAGGAAAGGAAGCAAGGAAAGGAAACGAGGATGCACAAATTATTAATAAGAAATGAGAAGCACCCCTTGATTATCTGTTTTGTGACTTATAAACTTCTCTGAAAACCTGTCCTTTAAAATAGCGACACCTGCTGTCCTATTTGAAGTACCAAAAGAAAACCAAATGTCACAACCCCACTGATTCTTCCAAAAAAGTGCATCATCTTGGTAGGCATGCGTTTCTTGAATAAAACAAAAATCTGCTTCTTTACCTTTACAAAACAAAAATAGAGCTTTCCTTTTCAGCATGTCACGTTAATATTAGCATTAACAGAAAATATTGTTACTGACATAAACTCGAACAAGTGCAGAAAAAAAAACCCTAATTGAACAATTAGGTGAACAATGAGCAAATTAAGGTTGAAACTTGAAAGTGTTGAGAGTGTATAAAGGGTAAGCTTACTCCATCACTATGAGTAACCGTCACATTTCAGTAATATTCTTGAGATCCTTTTAGCTTAAACTTGAGTAGATAAGGAACTCCCGCACACTATCGTTACTTGCACTTTTAAAATGAAGTTTATTCACACACAACGTTTCGGTCACACAACGTTTCGGTCACACGACCTTCGTCAGGAGTAGTCGTGTGACCGAAACGTTGTGTGTGAATAAACTTCATTTTAAAAGTGCAAGTAACGATAGTGTGCGGGAGTTCCTTATCTGCTTAAATGACTAGCTAGTCTGGTCTTATTATCCGACGCACCTATCACCTGCAGGTGTGCGATGGAGTTTGGTCACTTGCTTAAATTTGAGTAAAATAAAAGGAATAGCAACCTCCTGTTGTTGTAAGTTTCAAATTACGAATGAATATAAGCATTAATAAAAAAATAAAAACCTTAAATAATTCGTTCAAATTTTAAAGAATAACCTAAAGCAAACAGTTACTTCTCATTTCATAGTAATTTAAGATTCAGAATCAGAACCCATAATAAGGGTGCAGTGGTTTAGCTTACATTTTAATTTCTTTACCATCAACAATTGCCTTGATTCCCACAAAGAAGGCCCTTTTGCCCTTTTCCGTGCTTTGTCGATCGAAGGCCAAAGAAAATTCCGCGCAGCCCTGTCTTTGATCATGAGGTCCTCTTTGAAGTACATCTTGTTCTTCATTTCCCTTTGCTCCTTTCCATGTGAGGTCCCTCGCTGTTCTGGAAGTGAATCTTATAATCACCGGCCTTGGTCTCTTATCCTTGCCGCCATCTGAAATGGGTCTTCCAACTCGGTGAGCAATGTCCACGTTGTTTGCAACGAAGTTACTATCTTCTTCGGCAACCACCGCTCTGCAGATTTCCATTACCCGAGTCTTGACATTATCCTCTGCACGTTCGGTCAGCCCCTCCAATCGAAGATTCCATCTCCGACAGCAGAGATGGGACCAAGTCACACATGTGCAAGTCTCAAGTAAGTCTCAAGTCTTAACCTTCAAGTCTCAAGTAAGTCCCAAGTATTTTTTTTTGGGGGGGGGGGGGGGCAAGTCAAGTCACAGGCTATGTCAAGTCAAGTCAAGTCAAGTCTTGTAGTAGGTCAAGTCAAGTGCAAGTCAAGTCACCTTATTATTGTAATTTTACAAGCAGAATCTGATCTTAATAAAGTGAAAAGACAAGATTAGTATTTGTCAGAAAATTAGAATAATTTGGATTTGCATTGTAAATACTCAACTTCAGTAAAATACATCATGGAATCAAACTAAATTCTAACTTCATAAAATTATTTATTTTTCACTTCTGCCAACAGTGTTTGAAATGTTTTAAAATTTCAACATTGAGTCCATAAAACAAATAACAGCTCCTACGGACTCCTCTCTGAACACCTCCCTCTCTCACTCTCAAACACAGTTTACGAACAATATTAAACTTTGTTACATTTCTCATCTCTCTCTCTCTCCCACACGCACACACACACACTTTCTCTCTCTCTCTCTCTCTCTCTCCACACACACTTTCTCTCTCTCTCTCTCCACACACACTTTCTCTCTCTCTCAAATACAGTTTACGAACAATATTAAACTTTGTTACATTTCTCCCCCCCTCTCTCTCTCTCTCTCCCACACACACTTTCTCTCTCTCTCTCACACACACACATTCTCCCTCTCCCACACACACACACACATTCGCTCTCTCTGATCAGTACCGATCCTGATCATTTATTCTCTCCTCCATTTCAGAGATGCGCTTCAGGTTCTCCTTGTTTTTGTTTTTCAACTCTTCATTCTCCTTCCGAATGTCGAAAATTTCAGAGTGCACCACTTCTAATGCTTCTTTCAACAGATTGATGCTGGCAGAATTTTCTTTTACCATGTTTTTTATTTCCTCGGATGACTGTCTAATTATTTGAATGATGCTTTGCTGTACCTGACTTCCCAGATAGCAGACTGACATTGAATCAACGTGGAAATATGACATCGAAACAACGTTGATCTGACATTGTTTTGCTCATCGAATTAACGTTGAACCAACGTCAGATGCGTCATTCTTTCAAAACTAACGGAAAATCAACTTGAAATCAACGCGTTGTTTCAACGTTATGAAAGCAAACCAATTTTCGATTTCATTTAGCTTTGAAGAATGCCGCGTCTGACGTTGGTTCAACGTTAATTCGATGAGCAAATCAACGTTGTTTCAATGTCATGAGAGACGTCGTTTCCACGTTGATTCAATGTCAGTTTGCTATCTGGGTTAGCGTTAGTTCATCCGTTGCATCAACTTTTGCTTCATTTTTGAGGTGTATTTTTTGAGGTTTTTGATGGTGTATTTGGAGTCGAATCACATTCAACTCCCTTTTTCTCTTGACAAGCGTGAGTTTCGCTGATAAGTCTTTTTTCCGACGTCCTTTGAAGTTCAATATCCATCACCTGAGGGGTTGACACGTCCATGATAACTTCTAGACTCTCTATCTAATAAGAAACCCGAGTAATAATTAACTGTAACTTATTTATAAGAATCTCAATAACACTCAATAAAGTGTGATTTGTTTCTCACATCAACTTTTGTTAAATATACCCTATTTGTTGTAAGCGCTAGAACACGTGCGTCTAGTCAAGCCGCCATCTTGGCCCTGTAGTAAGCTTTGAGACATACTATCACGTCATCTTTAACGGACAGCTCTGTCGCGTGCTGCGTCCTGTCACAGTGTCACCGTCTATGCCTGTCACCGTAAACTGCCCTGTCAATCATCTTGTCACAGTTAAAATCCTCCATTCAATCTAATTTGATTTCCTACCGTTTCAGAGAGCACGTTCATCTGCCAGTCGTGGGTCTTTCATGAAGAGACTCTCATCGTGTTTGCAATTTGAATATAATGATGTATTTAAAAAGTAATTGGCTAAACGTGTCTTCACAAAAGTTCTCAATGCTGCTGCATTTGCAATATAATGTGGACAACATTGAATAAATTCATTTTCGTCAGGTTAGATACTGATAATTAATCACTAAAAGGCAAAGCTCTTTATCTAAACCTCTCTACAGGACCAGTGCGGAACTCACGCGTCCTCCGTGTCTGTAGTTTTTTTTTTTTTTACACTTTTTACTCGTGTTTGTAGTTCTAACCGAACCCTCGTCCACGCGCACAATGGTTTGTGGGCAATATCAGCCGTGCGCTGCGTTCATGTGCTAATTATGGTAAATACCAAAACCCGACGTGGAAAATGCACATGAACACCCCCTCATGTGGTATTTTCCACTGGCAACTCGTAGAATATTTTGATGGACGAGTTGCCGAGATGAGATAACCTTTGAACTTTTCAAAATGGCGGAGAGCACCGTGAATGGTAAAAATATATACTATTCATGATCTATTCTAGAACATAGCATATTATTTACCTTTTGAGTTTTTATAGATCATTTTCCTGCTGTTGCAGATGTCTTAAGCAATCTAAAATAGTTTTAGCTTAATAACAGGCCTGGATCTCCATCTTTTTACCACATTACGACAACAAAAGCACTTGAACGCCACACACTGGTAAATACCAGTTCACAAGTGGAAAATATCCTACTTTCCATAGCACGTGAACGCAGACGGTATGATTTGCTTCAGTTTGTTGGCGTCTGCAATCAACAACCAATGAGAGTCGAGGGCGAGAAGCCGAGCCAATGAGCTGCGAGACCGTCTGTGCGTCAGTGACGTGGCGTCAGTACGTGCAGAGCTCGCGTGCCCTTGGCTTTTATTAACGACAGAATCATATGGTATCACATGCACAGGTATGACCGACATTCAGATGTGATTTATACTTTTAACAATCTTTACCTTAAAGCTCATGTGCGGGAACAAACACCAGAGTTTATTAAGGGAGAGCTGTGTACAGGTTTCACACGAGATCATCAAATCCATATTAAACTCCGGTTATTATCGTTTTCAACTTTGACTCGGGATATGATTTGCATTCCTGACCTCGCCTTGATTCCTGTCGTTAAACCTGACGAATTATTCCGTGTTCATTCATTATCTACAGTCTAGGATCTCACGACACTTTTTCCCGTTTACTGTGATTAATTTATACACGTACAGAATAAACACCGTGAACAAGTGAAATACACGTGTGAAAATAATTCTGCATCTCTATACATGTTTTGTATTACATGGATAAAATTGTGTGTGTGTGTGTGTGTGTGTGTGTGTGTGTGTGAGAGAGTGTGTGTGTGTGTGTGTGTGAGAGAGAGAGAGAGTGAATGTGTGTGTGTATGAGAGAGTGAGTGAGTGAGTGAGTGTGTGTGTGTGTGTGTGTGTGTGTGAGAGAGAGAGAGGGAGAGTGTGTGTGAATGACTGTATGTTTGTGTGACAGTGTTGTGATCTTCTGTCTCTTCTTCTCTTCTACAGGATGGGTTTTCTTCTATCTAAATCTATGGATCAGAGTCTCCAGAAGCAGCAGGAGTTTATGTTGATCAGCGGAAGAATGCAGGTGTGTGTGTGTTTGATAAAGAGAGAGTGTGTGAGTGCTGTGTGTGTGAGAGAGGGAGAATACAGGTGTTGTGTGTGTGTGTGTGTAATGGAGTGAGTGTGTGTGAGAGTGGGAGAATGTAGCTGTGTGAGAAAGGAGTGTGTGTGTGTGTGTGTGTGTGTGTGTGTGAGAGAGAGAGAGAGAGAGAGATTGGGAGAATACAGGTGTGTATGTGTGTGTGTGTGTGTGTGTGTGTGTGTGTGTGTGTGTGTGTGTGTGTGTGTGAGATAAAGAGAGAGAGTGTGAGAGTGCTGTGTGTGTTTGTGTGAAATGGAGAGAGTGTGTGTGAAAGTGGGAGAATGCAAGTGTGTGTGTGTGAGAGAGTGTGTGTGAGAGCGGCCGACTGCAGGTGTGTGTGTGTGCGTGCCAGAGACTCATTATATTCATTCCTTCATTCATCACTGTAGATGAACATCAGGGCTATTGTGAACATGATCTCACATTCACAGACGATTGAGGTCAGAGCTTCACGTGTGTGTGTGTGTGTTTGCTCATTTCCGCTGGTTTCTGCCAAGAGCCAAAAAGCTTTTATTGCGATGGAGAAGAACTCATTTTGTCTTGCTTGGGTGTGATGAATCTCGCCATCTGAGGCTTCATCATCATCATCATCCTCTTCACCTTCGTCATCTTTATCATCATCATCTTCGTCATCCTCATCTTCAATCTCATCATACTCTTCATCATCCTCATCATCATCTTCTTCATCGTCATCCTCATCTTCATCATCATCTTCATCCTCCTCATCATCTTCACCATCTTCATCATCTGAGTGACTGATGATATCTCAGCTTCAGACCCTCTAATGAACAGAAGCTCATTTGGCTGATGTGATGATGATGATCATGATGATGTCATGACGAGGGTCACGTGACTCTCAGCTCTCAGCACTGCTGTTTCTAGCCTTCGGACGCTCATAAACACTGGTTATCGTCCACAATCTAATAAGCGTCCTCGAGCTCCTCCAGAAATGTGGATCATCTTTCTGAATATTGTTCTCAGTCACTGAACAGAGTGTTTACTCAGGACAGATCCGATGCTTGCAGCGCTTGACCAAACTCTCCATCTCATCGCTGCTCGGAGATTCACACTAATGACATGTTTATTGTCCTGAAAGGGCGAGATGATGAAAGTGTGTGTTGTGTTTGTATACTCTCAGTTTCTTCTGTTTGCGTGTGACCAACCCTGATGAACAAAACCAGTTTAAACCGGCCTTACCAGGCTCTCCTTGCAGTGCTAACGATCATTTAGTAAAAAAACGAGGAAGAGAGTCATACACACGAGGAAGAGTGTCACACACACACAGAGGAAGAGTGTCACACAGACACCGTTCAGGGCTGTTCTGTGCGGGATAGATGAGGCCAGGAGCGTGTTCAGTGTGTGCGTGTTCTCGGTGTGTGTGTGTGTGTCGCCCGGCTCGTTCAGGGCCGTTCTGTGCGGGATAGATAAGGCCTGGAGCGGGTTCTGAGTGTGTGTGTGTGTGTGTGTTCTGTCAGACTTCCGTCGGGGTCACAGGGAACAGACTCGCACAGAACCGTCACCGGTGGCCTTTCATGGAAATGTCAGTGAGTTTCCCACCAGTGTTTCCACTTCATCACCTCTCCTCAACATCTCACACCATCATGAAGACATCAGGACACCAGACCTGAGACAAGTCACGCCACGTTCCGCACAAAATCGCTCTTAGACATCAGGACACAGGACACTAGACCTGAGACGGGTCACGCTCCGCGCTGATCCGCTCTCAGACAGCACTGCGGTTAAAGCCACTATGAAATCAAAATAGACATTTGTATGTTTTTATGGAGTATTGCAGTGTTTGTTATAAATTATCAATAATTGTGTTAAAGGTGCAGTGTGTGATTTTTAGCGACATCTAGCAGTTCGGTTGCGAGTTTGCACTAATGGCGCAGCCCACTGCTCACCTCTCCCTTTCGAAGAATCTATGGTGGCTCAAACGGGACAAACATATTGTCATCTGAGACAACAGAGAATAGCCAGAGTAAGCCAAGAGTGTGCAACATTGTCACTGTTTCTGTACCACAGTCCATTATAAACCACATCATGGATAAAGTTTCCAAAGCTATGGTCAGGTGAGGATCAAGTGTCTTAATATATAATATAATAATAGTAATCCGCTGATTGTCTCACAAACATAACCAGCACATTTCTCCCCATATAGCAAAGCCATAAAAAAGCGAAGAAGGAGGAGAAGCACAAGAAACAGGGTAGTATTTTTCTAACATATTTAGATGGCTAAATATGAGATGTTACTGTGGCTGAGCTAGTTAAAGCGTAAAGCCTTGTTTATACTCGACGCGTTCGCATGAGCCCAAAGGTGCGTGCGGCAAAAATGACATGATTGTAACAGCGCGCACGCCTCCGCATCCCCTAGACACTCACAATAGGCTTTTTTTCTCTGATTTTGAAAACTTAACTTTCTAAAACTTAAGATAGACTTAAAATGCTTACAAGATCGACGGGTTGGTGACTCCTGTAACGTTACTGTTTTACGGTCAATGACAAGAGTACTAATCAGCTGTCTCACGAACGTAACCAGCACATTTATCCCCACATAGCAAAGTCATAACACAGCGAGGGAGAAGAACTAAGTTACATGAAACAATCCAACTACATATTTTACACCATTGATAAAGAAAGTCACTACTCATGGTGTCTATGGCAAGCTTCTAGCTTTCTAGACACTCTGTAGCGCTGTGTGTTCCATTTCGGCTACGGTAGAAACATGACGTCACAATATGTCAACCTTCATAGAAGGGGGTGCCCGTGGTTATGTACATTTAAATGTCTCATTCTAAGGTAATAAAAACATTGCGTTCTTTATATACCACTGAAAACATAGTTATGGTCTGTCATATTGCATTTCTGTTATTAGATACTTAAACATTTTACACATTGCACCTTTAATAATCTTAAATCAGAGTAACTCTCTTCTCTGATGATGAGGGCGGGGCTATAACCTGTCACTCACATTAGGTCAGCCAATAACAAACCACAACCGTCCAGCCAATTCCCCACGGACACCCAGACTCAGTCGGGTTCTGCTGGGTTCTCCCAAGGTCTTTTTCTCCATTCTGTCACCTGATGGAGTTTTGGTTCCTTGCCACTGTTGCCTTGGCTTTTGGCTTGCTTAGTTGGGGACATTTAATATCCAACAATGTTATTGATCTGTGTTGTATTATTTTCATGTTATCACTGTGAAGCTGCTTAGATACAATCTCTATTGTAAAAAAGCGCTACATAAATAAAGGTGACTTGACTTGACAATCAAGCCCCGCCCACATGTGTTTTTATTCGTGGAAGTTAGTTTGAAAGTGAGCGCTTGTAAACAGATTCTGCCAGTGAGTTTCTGTGTTTGAGCGGATGTTTCTCCGTTTCACTTGCACCGCTAGCTTGATTAGCACTCAAACAGCTGGTTAGAGATAATTAATGGTTGTAAGTCGAATGGAGCGATGGCGTTTACTTCATCTTGTTATTAAACGTTATTCCTGATCATTTACGTCACCTTGTTCAGCCTGTGGTCGTTCATCATCACTACATGAGTGAAATCAGAGAACCTATAATCTGTCACAGCACGTCTGATTCCTGTCCTATTCAAGTTTCTTAAAGTCCCCTGTGGTGTAAATCCAGCTTTTAATGCTTTTATTTAAATATGCTTTAACTCAAACCATGTGTAAGTTCATAAGTCGAAAGCATTGCTGTGTATTTCCTCCTTAAAACTGCAGTAAACCAAAGACAGTCTCAAAAACACGGTTGGAAATCGCTGGTGTTTCTGATGTCACAAACTACCTTTTGTAACCAAACAGATCAACGTGTGATCGGCTACCAGTGGATCTCTGAGCTGAGTGAGTGACTGGCGGTGGGGCTCATCTGCATATTAATAGAGAACCACACATACTAAATGAGGCAAGGGTGTCGACTTACATTCAAGATATTTTAAGACAAATTATTTTCAAAGAAAAAAAAACGTTTCAATGTTATTCTGGTGATGAAAGATGAGCTTTAAGGGATAAAGTTATTGACTTTATCAAACTCCTGCTGAGATCATGTCAGGGAGCTTCCGCTTGCAAACAGGAAGTGGCTCTGACCTCCAGACAAAGACAGGAAATGTGAGGGGTTCACAGCCCCCCCCCCCCCCCCCCACACACACACACACATGGTAATGAGAGCTAATTAATAATCTGATAAAGCTTTATTCATGTGCAGATTGTGTGTGACGAATGCTTTGTTTGGTCAGGAAGAGTGACGTGTGTTTTGTGATGTTCATGAGGTCAGGCGTGTCTTTGCAGCGCTTCACCTGAACACACACACATCAGCCTGATTCAGAGGTGTGTGTGTTGTCTTTCTGCAGATGGAGCGTCAGATGCTGATGCAGAATGAGATGCGTGAGCGCCAGACGGCGATGCAGATCGCCTGGTCTCGAGAGTTTCTCAAGTACTTCTCTTCTTTCTACGGTTTAACTGCGCTGGGTCTCATCGTCGGGTCTGTGACACACACACACACACACACACACACACACACACACACACAGATGTTCTCTCTAGAGATGTTCTGATACCCTTGTTCTCTTCCCGATAGACGGTTTCATCAGACGCGTTGCCATAGTGATGAGCTGGCCCAAAGTTAACTTCCGTTCTGTTCGTTTATTAGTGTTTACTGGATAATATGGCATTGACTACAAATTGAAATTTAAGGTGATGAGCAGGTTATTGAGCTGTGGGGTGCAACCTGACCTAGGGAGCAAACGCAATTTTTAAAAATAAAAATGTCAAGGTTTCCTATGAGGGAGACGGCGGTATTAAAATAGCCTATGTTTATCTGAGTGATAACCGGTACAGTGTTTCCCATACATTTATTAGTGGCAGCCCACCACATTATCAGCGCTGACCGCCACATATTGATTTCCGTGTTTTTAACAATTTAAGATGAGAAAAGTTGTAATTGACTGCAGAGTTGCGTAACTTGCGTGCAGCGCATATTCGGACGCTCTCTCTCTCTCTCTCTCTCTCTCGCAAACACATTGACAGCGGACCAGTCTGTGTATTGAATGGTTAGTATCATAAACAGCGCTGCACAGATCCATCCAACATGCTGTCAATGTGAGACCCACCTTAAAAAAAGGTTAGCAAGCATGTAAGTAGCCTAGCTATGTTAACCTTATCAAACTCCGCCGTCGCGCTCGCCACAGTTTTTTTAACACTGCGGTAAATCAGACACGTCGGTAGAAAAACATCTTGTCTCCAATTTTTGTTCAACGGGTCTGGTAGTGTCACATTTCAGTTTGGCCAGGTAACATTTATTTTCTTTGACTGGCAAGATACCAGCTACTAGGTTATTTACTTGTTATGGATTGTCTCCGCAAGTCTGCCGGAAGTTAAGTTTGGGCCAGATTAATGCACATGCGCAGTACCGTTTGTTTATGTTGTCACTGCTGAAAGCGTCTATACGTGGACTCAGAGTATCGGCCGATACCGATTACTGATCCGATACCTGGGTGTGTATCTTACTATTCACACTAGCCCTGTATGAATTGGTAGAATTATTTTATGGTGTTCTTCAGACTTATCCCTTAATAAAACATGAACAAATACATACAGTGAACAGTGAATATGTTTATTATCTGACATACATTTCACAGTAATATATTATTTATTTTTTTAAGTCAAAAAGAACTTAAAATGCAGCCATACATCTAATGCTTTAAACTGAAAAAGGTATTTTAGATTTACAACAAAACACTGTATAAAAAAGTGCAACAAATAAATCTAGGAATCTAAAAAAAAATATAAATGAATAATAAAATAACCTCTTTATAATCTAGAGTCCAGAAACAATTTTGTTAAATACACGGCATTTCAGTGTCTTCCAGAACAATAGACTCGATAATTTTGTCGGTTATATTTACTGCTGGTTGACTGTCTTTTGAAAACTTTTCTCTTCATTTGAATGAAGCTTCCTGAGATTGTTGATTCTGGTGCAGCTCATCCTCCGTCTGCTATCGTGTTCTGCGGGGTGACGCATCTTCAAATGCTTTATTAAGTGTTGAAGCTGCTAATCTTGTGCCACCCCTCAAAATTGCAGTACGGCATATGAGACATGTCGCTGTTTTACTGGCTGGTTGGTCCAGTCTTAAAGGAGAACTAATTACACATTGGTACCTAGTCAACCGTTCTCTGAGATTTGTTTTCATGATAATCGAATGTAAAGAGCTGTATTTCTAAAAACCGTTTAGCGTATAATGCTAGTATATAGGGCAAAGAGTAAATAAAAATCGCTAGTTAATACCAATAACAAGGCTCAAAATAGCCCCACACTAACACAGTAACATAATGAGCTTCCCTACATGCAAACCAAAGCATTAGTAACTTTGTAAGTGAACAGAGTTTAATAAGAAGATACTTTATAAAGACAGTCTACCAGTGGTATTAACTAGTGATTTTTATTTTTCATTACTAGCGTGCGCTTTTTTTCTTCGCTGCTCTAAACAGTGGTTGCTTGTAGCAGCACAACCGCACAACTTCTTGTGTTCCCACAAGCAACCACTGTTTAGAGCAGCGAAGAAGAGTTGATCTCCGATTTGCAGCATTAAGCATAACTAGGGTATCGGATCGGTACATGGGTAGAAGTACTCAGTGGTACTGATGCCAGAATTTTTACTGGTATCGGCGGCATTTCCAATACTAGTATCGGAATCGGAACAACAACTCACTCACACACTATATATACACACTCACACACTATATACACACACTCACACAGACTATATACACACTCACACACTATACACACACTCACACACTACACACACACACTATGGCCATGTCCACACTAATACGTTTTCAAACGAAAACGTACATTTTTCTCTCCGTTTTGGCCTTCCGTCCACACTGAGACGCCGTTTTAAGTCAACAAAAATGTATCGTTTGGAAAACGCTCTCCAAAGTGGATAAATTTGAAAACGCCGTTTTCGCGTTGAAGTGTGGACAGTGAAACTGGAGGTATTTCAAAAGGATGACGCAAGTTTAGTCATGTGATCCATGTAGTACCAATAGATATTCATGTTTATCGGTATTGTGCCTGTTATGTGTTATTCATTTTTACACTATTGCTAAAATATGTTACTTTCTATGTTACTTAATATGTGCTATTCTTCATAGCACAGTACTGCAAAGATAACAGATAATGTAGTCTACTCACATTTGCTGTCCTGCGGCAAAACAGGAGAGCAGTTGCGTTTTAGACCAAACATATGGTGACTGAATACGACCTGGACGCATCCGTGATGGTGAGATATTTTGCTAAATAAAATTATCCTGTTATTGTGCGATGACATTATTACTTATTTTCCCATCTGTATCATCTCAGTGAGCTTTTGTGAAGTTTCACGCATGCGCAGTAAAGTGAAGTATCTGGATTAATGTGGATGTAGCCTATATACTCACTCACACATTATAAACACACTCACAAACTACACACACACACACACACACACTATATATACACACTCACACACTATACACACACACACACATACTCACTCTCACACACTATACGCGCACGCACGCACACACACACTATACTCACTCTCTCTCACACACACAAACACACTTTCACTCACACTCTCTCTCTCTCTCACAAACACACACACACACACGCACACTATATAGACACACTCACACATTGTTTTTTATGTGATGTATGTATAGCTTTAGTGGTTTTCACAGCTTTATTTCTCCCGTCATTCGGTCAGATCCAGTATATCACTGGATATCAAGCATCAAGCTCTACAGTTGAACAGTTTTTATTATTTAAGCAGTAGTTAATCTGAACAGTGTTTTGTGTGTGTGCAGAGCGGTGCGACAGAGGAGGGCAGTTCTCCTGGCTCCGGTCGTTCCCCTGAGCTTCATCCTGGCGTATCAGATGGACATGGCGTACGGGTCGCTGATCCACCGCATGAGAGGTACACAAACACACTTACACAGAACATATGAAGAGTTCTTTTCCAAAACACTATAAATCCATTTCAATAGTTTTCAGGAAAACTACATTTTTTTCCCTAGACCCACACATTTTGTGAATATTCAAATTATCCTGTTTAAATGTTTTATTGGTTCAGTCTGAACATTTTGAACAATAATTATTAAATTAAACAACAATATTGTTAATGATAAATTAAAAGTTAATTTTATTTTTTTTCAAAACACTATAAATCCATCCATTTTTTTGTATCATTTTTAGTAAAGTCATTTTTAGTAAAGTGTCAAACCTCAAACAAATAGTACCAATTTCAACATATGCATGAAAAAACTAATTATTAAAAATGATCAATAAAGATAACGATATTCAAAAAAGGGATGGGCACCCCTATAGCACATGCACACACACTTATAGGCTACATAGCATGTGAGCAAAGCGGAGCAGCGTGACGCTTAAATATAAAGTAAAAAAAAAAAACTAAATAAACATAGGCTACGTTTCACATGTGTTTAATAATAGTTAATAATATTACGTTACTTATTTTTATTATTTCATCTATGTTGAGTAGGCTATGAAAAGGGAACCGCCTGAGATGGGACATTCTAAAACGCTTAACGTGAAAAGCGCTTAACGTGGCTTACTGTACTAAGACAGTGATATTAAAAGACCAAATTCAGTACACATCATATTACAGTTTTTTTCGATTGCTAAACCACAGTGGAGCACAACTGGAGCTACATATGCAAAACTCTAACTCCAATCTGCACAGCAGCAGTTCATGTGGACCAAACTCTAGATCGTTTTTCATTGCTTGAACACAGTTTTCAAAACTCTACACACTTATCCCATGACTTTAACCACAACCTGCACAACACTGTGGATTTACAGCACTTTGTTCAAAAGCTAAAACACTGCTGTCAAAACTGTGAACCACTCATTCAAAACAGAATAAATTTCAGCCTTGTGCCTTTCACACACTGCTGACTTTCAAACAATTTCAGCTGAAAGGCTGAAAACTTGTGGCCTAATGCTTGAGAGAGGCAGGGTTACATTATTACAGTATGTACTTTTAGTTTCTACCTTTTTTTCCTCATTACTGTAATTCTGTCAATTACTACAGACTATTGAAGCAAACTGCTAATTTTCAATTGTTATGTTCTAAAAATGTAAATATCAAATGAAAGAATGTCACTCTTTTCTTTGAAAAAAAAAAATATTACTTTGTATGAAGTCTGAAGTTGTTGAAACTGTAAAGATGAAAAGTTTGGATTTTCTGTATTGGTGTTTGATGCTAGTGTTTTTCCTCTCAGTGTGTTTTGAGTGACAGTGTGTGTTATCTCAGTGAGGGTTGTGCATAGTGTTGTGCACACTGAGCCTGTTTTGAGCTGTGTGTTAAGAGTTGTGCTCAAGTGACTGTTGGTAGTGCAGACTGTAGTTAGAGTTTTGCACATTTAGCTCCAGTTGTGCTCACTGTCGTTTAGCAATCGAAAAAAACATTAATAAACCATACTATGTATAAAAAATAAGATGAGTCCAGGATATCAACGCAACGCGATTAATAACACGTTAAGCATTTTCTTCCCATAGAAAACCGTTATGAGAGAACGCTTAATATCCAGGACTCATCTTATTTTTTTTTATACATAGTATGGTTTATTAATATGATGTGTACTGAATTTGGTCTTTTAATATCACTGTCTTAGTACAGTAAGCCACGTTAAGCGTTTTCTCATCATGATTGTTTCTATGGGAAGAAAATGCTTAACGTGTTATTAATCGCGTTGCGTTGATATCCTGGACTCATCTTATTTTTAATACATAGTATGGTTTATTAATATGATGTGTACTGAATTTGGTCTTTTAATATCACTGTCTTAGTACAGTAAGCCACGTTAAGCGTTTTAGAATGTCCCCATTAGGGGGGAAGTAAGATAGGATCAAAATTCATAAGCTGCCCAATATCGGAAAATATTTGGAGTGGGTCAGACGTGATATTGACCACTTACTAAGTTTTGTTTTGTAGAAAGCTTGTAAATTTCGTTTCTTATAAATTATATCTTCATTTTAATAAATATTTCATCAACAAATTGACTGGATTAATACATTAGAAGTAAATATCAGACAATATAATCAGGACACGAGCGCACGTCAACCGGAGCGCGTCTCATATATGAACCGAAACACGATGCTTGCCTAACAGACCTGAGAACTAGGCTACAAAAAGCTTTAAATGTCTACTTTTAAACAAAACAATTAAAAACGAAAATAAATTGGCAACTCTCTGCATATGTATGCTAATTCGAAGTATGCGTTTCTCTCTATACGCCTATGCGCGTTCACTGCGAAGATGGCGAGTAAGCATCATCAACTTTATCTTTGCTGCTGACACTGACAGAAAACACTAGTTTATTAATAAACAATTCAAATGTTTCATGCATAATCATTACTTTTGCCGGTTCTTTGTGGCAAGCTATTCATACGTTGAGATGCGGAATAGGCAATTAAAAACGCTCATATGGTTTCTCTCCCATTTAATAAAGCAATATATCTGATTACTGATTAGACAAATGGCTTAAATGATCTACTACTAGTCGACTAGAAAACTAGGACTCATTTTGAGGAATGAATGAACATAAACAAATCTCCGTTCAGAGTGCCGCCGTGCTGGATTGCGTAGAACGCTCATCGAATTTGAGGATTTATTGCGTTTAGGCTTAAAACAGGGCTGGTGCTTATCGCGGTTTGGAAAGAAACTGTATCTTGCAGTACATTTTAAACAAGGAAATATAGCGATTTGGCATGAAACGTTGATAGAGCAGTGAAAGGGTTCTGTCCACAGCAGAATGACACGACAAACTAATTTTTTTTTAAAATGGCGTTTATCGCGTTTTGGAAAAGAGCTCTTCATATTCTGCTCTGACAGGACATATTCTGCTCTGTTGTTTCAGGCTCTACTAGAACTTTTCCTGCTTGAATGTTGATTATTTTCCTCATATTCTCCATTGTTGCGCCTCCTCTCTTCCCAGTCTGTCAGTAACGCTCTGTTTACTTCCTGTCTCTATGAAGCCCCGACTTCTGAAAGGTATACTGTGCTCTGATTGGTCGGCTGGAGCAGTGTGTTGTGATAGGTCAAGCGTTTCGAGTGTGTTTGGGAAATGTCCCGCCCCTTTCCATAACCACCAGTTTACTAACTAACTCAACCAGGCCCCACCCCCTTTATTCTGTGTATGAATTAAAATGAGGAATATCGTGACGTGTTCGTTCCTGCCAGAAGTTCATAAACACTGACGCTGATATAGAGGAGAACTGGAACAGCAACATCACACACACTGAAGAGATGAAGACGCTCTCGTATGTCAGAAGCTAATCTTCTGTTGAATCTGCTGACGGTTAAAAACACATTTAAATCGAATCTAATTATTTAATCATAAGCATGTGTGACATTCTTCCTGATTAACAGATCCATATCAGGGGGAGTTAATGAGCGCAGTGACGTCATGCAGCTTTCCTCCTCCATCACTGATGGGTTATTGATTGGCTTTTAAAGGATTCCTAAAAAATGCCACTTTGAATGCGAGGGAATGTGGTAGTTGTAATTAGTGAAGAGTGCCGTTTCTGATGAATCCCATCTGATGTTGTGTGTGTGTGTGTGTGTGTGTGATCTGCAGCCGAGGCAGAGAGCATCATGGTTTCTGAGAGTGAGCGCCTAGATCTTCCTCACGGGCTGCCCACGTTTGAGAGCATTGAGAAATCCCGACGATCTCGAGCTCACCTGACGTCTCTGCTGGAGAAATGAGTGCCAGTCCTGATCAGTCCTGATGAATCCTGACAAACTCTGACGAATCCTGACGAACACAAACCCTGGCGAATCCTGACTAATACTGATCAGTCCTGACGATCCTGATAAATCCTGACTAACCTTACGAAATCCTTACAAATCCTGAAGAATACGAGTCTTAACAAATCGTTTCGAATCCTGACGAACACAAATCCTTAAGAACACGAATCCTGACTAACCTTGGCGAGTCCTGATGAATCCTGAAAATCCTGACGAACACGAATCCTGACATACTTACTAATCCTGATGAACACGAATCCTGACGAACCTTAATGAGTCCTGATGAATCCTGTCGAACAAAATACTGACGAACCTTGACGAATCCTTACGAATCCTGACAAACACAAATACTGACAATCCTTGACGAATCCTGATAAATCTTGAAATTCCAGACGAACACGAACCTTGACGAATCCTAGAAATCCTGACGAACATGAATCCTGACAAATCCTTACGAGCCTTGACGAATCCTGACAAACACGAATACTGACGAATCTTGACGAATCCTGACAAATCTTGAAATTCCTGATGAACATGTATATCCTGACAAACACGAATCCTGACAAATACTTACGAATCCTGAAAATTCTGACGAATATTGAAAATCCTAGTAAACATGAATCCTGACTAATCCTGAAAATCCTGACAAATCTTTACGAATCCTGATGAAACTTGACGAATCCTGAAAATCCTGACGAACCTTAACGAATCCTTACGAACCTTGACAAATCCTGAAAATTCTGATGAATCCTGAAAATCCTGACGAACACGAAACCTGTCAAATTCTTACGAATCCTGAAAATCCTGACGAATCTTGAGAATCCTGACGAACAGGAATCCTGAAAATCCTGACGAACACGAATCCTGACAAATCCTGATGAACACGAATCCTGATGAACACAAAACCTTGACGAATTCTGAAAATCCTGATCAGTCCTGACGATCCTTATGAATCCTGACGAACCTTAACGAGTCCTGAAGAACCTTGATGAATCCTGACTAACGTTACGAAACCTGACAAGCCCTGACGAACACGAGTCCTGGCAAACCTTGACGAATCCTGACGAACACAAGTCCTGATGAACACGAGTCCTGACGAACACGAGTCCTGGCGAATCTTGACAAGTCCTGGCGAACACGAGTCCTGGCAAACCTTTACGAGTCCTGGCGAACACAAGTCCTGACGAAATTGCCGAAGGTGAGCGTAGTGACCCAGGAGTATACGAGTGTTCGGCTGCTCTAGCAGTGCTCCAGCCAAACGCCAGTGCTTCCGTTGAGCTTTGTGTGATCGGTTGATTCTCAGGTGTTTCTTCACACATATTGCCAAATTATTTATGCTTTCAAAATGCCTGAAAAGAAAGATAACATGATTAAAATATACTGTGTTAGTATTGTATATTTCCTATACACTCTATTATTCATGGTTGTAATGGAGTGTACAACAGTGTTTAATTTACATTGTGATCATGACTGTTGTGTCCAACAATAAACATTTAAAGCAGTTTTTAATGTTTAATTTTCCATAATATGTTATTAAGATGATTATTTGTGAGTGTCATGCATAAACAAAATATTCAATTAGGATATTAAAATATATATGTATATATATTTAACATTTGATCAAAATGAAGCCAATGTCTGTTCAAGAAAATAAAACCGATTGTATTTTGTTTGGGATCTATATTTTCTCTAAATCTATATTTTCACGAGTCACATTGATTACATTGTGATCATGACCGTTGTGTCCAACAATAAACATTTATAGCAGTTTTTAATGTTTAATTTTTCCATAATATGATATTAAGATGTTTATCTGTGTGTAATGCATGCACAAAATATTCAATTTGGATGTTTTTTTTTTTTTTTTAACATCTGATCAAAATGAGCCAATGTCCGTTCAAGGAAATAAAACCGATTGTATATTGTTTGGGATTGTTTGGTTTTCTTTTGCACAGTTGCTGAATGATGAAACAAGAAAATCTATTTGGAAATAAATTATTCGTATTATCACGTTTGTGCTCTGACATCACTCATCTGTAGAGAGCAATAACCATAATAATCTACATCTGTAAGAAGTGAGTGATGATATTCAGCCAGCGTGCGCGCGCGTCAGTGACGTCAGTGTGTGTGAGTGTGTATAAAGTCTGCGAACTGATGGAGTAGGATCTCCAGAAAGCAGCAGCTCGAGACACTTCAGTGCTTTGCTTTGATCAGACCGCGCTAATGTACTCGATGACGATGTTCCGCGCGCTTTTGTCAGTTGTACTGGTGTGTGTGTGCGGTGTGTGTGTGAGCGCGGAGAGGCAGGAGTTACCGAGAGACTTCGGAGTGAAGCTGTGCGGGCGCGAGTTCATCAGAGCCGTGATCTTCACTTGCGGGGGCTCGCGCTGGAGGAGAGACAGTATGTGCTTCATCATCTTCACCATCATCATCTTCACCTGCGGGGGCTCGTGCTGGAGGATAGAGAGTACCTGCTTCACCATCATCTTCAACTTCTTTATCATCTTCATCTTCTTAATCATTGTCATCATCCTCTTTACCTGCAGGGGCTTGTGCTGGAGGAGAGAGTATCATGATCAGATGATGATGATTATCATCATCATCTTCTTCTTCATCATCATTCATCTCTTCATCATAATTATCATTATCATCTTCATCATCATCTGATATTTGTGTCGCAGGTCCCTGGTCCGTGGATGGAGGTGTGCCCTTTCTCTGGTCTCTCCGGCTGGACGCGATGACCTCTGACCGCAGGAAGAGGAACTTCTCGTTGGGACTGGCGGGAATGTGCTGTAATCAGGGCTGCACGAAAAACGACATTGGCCGCCTGTGCTGAAAATCACTGATGCAGATGAGGATGATGAAGGACTTGCACTGAACTGTCAGATCCAGTGCTTTCATTTGTATTTATTTCCTTTTACCACAACAATAAAAGTCCACGTCTTGACTGCATCCGTCATGTTTGACTGCCAGTGACTCGCTCGTACACAAAAATAACCAAATGCCAGCTGTTTACTCTGCGGCACCGCGGTAAAACCTCCTCCCAGTTATGATATTAATCAGAATAAACTATCCCTCTCTTTCGAATGAAAGTGAGTGTTTCATTATTTAATGTTTATCGGTGTTTATTGTGCTTGTATATTAAAGATATAGATATATATTAACAAGAACATAGATTTTTCAAAGGTCCCATAGATTAATGTCAAAATTAAACCGGAATCAGTCGTTCCTGCAAGAGGAAATACTCTTGATTCAAGATTAATAAAACACCCATAAATCATTCAGAATCACACCGAAATATTACATACAAGAATAAGAATTGTATATTTTGATTTCATGGTGTCTTTTAGTAGATATTTGGTTGCAAGGACTGCATTGGTTGTTTTAACATGCTTTTTTCATTTTCCATATTTATTTCTAAAATTATTTTAAAAGTTATTTAATCTTTATATGTTGTTGAATGTGGTTTGTGAGTGACTGAGGAGAAGATTTATTTCAAAAGCAGATCTCGCATGAATGATGCAACACGCTAATATTCAAATGAGAAATCAACCAATAGAGCAGATGGTGTGTGTCAGTTGATCCTGGCTGGAGCTGAATTAGTCCAGTCATTTTATAAAAAAAAGGTTGAACAAATTGCAACAGAAGCAAACTCAACTGATTTTGTATCCTCAATATGTCCTGAGTGAGGAAAAAAAAAAATCCCAGAAGAATACCATTAGGGGTGTTGTCGCCAATTTTGATGTGTGTTATATGTGTTTTGTTAGTAGCTAGTCGTATAGGGGCGACGCTCTTCCATTTGCACACCAGGGGCATAGGCAGGGAATCACAGTAATTACGGAGACTATATGAGGAAGTCACAGGTGAATGGCGTGAGGGAATTAGGATCTGGGGAAACCACACAAGCTGCGTCCCAATTCACATACTATCCGCCCTAAATAGTATTCGAAAATAGAATTAGTAGGGTAGGATGGGTACAGTTGAGACATAGGTGCAGTTGAGACACCTTAAATAACTTGCGTGCACACCCAGCAAAAATTGTGATTTTTGCTGTGCACATGCGTATTAGTAACCTCTTTGATTGTGGGAAATTTGATCAATGGACGCATCTCCGATCCAAAGATATTGGCAAAAGTTTTTTTTCTAAGGTAAGACGTTCACTTCACCATGCACACTCAAGTCAAGTCACATTTATTTATATAGCGCTTTTCACAATACAGATTGTATCAAAGCAGCTTCACAGTGATAACATGAAAATAGTACAACACAGATCATTAATATTGTTAAATATTAAATAACCCCAACTGAGCAAGCCAAAAGCAAGGTGACAGTGGCAGGGAACCAAAACTCCATCAGATTGGATGGAGAAAAAACCTTGGGAGAACCTAGGCTCAGTCGGGGGCCAGTTCTCCTCTGGCTTACATTCATATTGTTTATATATAAATATTAAATATAAATATTGTTTATGTATAAAACGGCGCCATAACATATCGCAGGCGTTGAGTCGTCTCTTCACAGGCGCTGGTCCTCTCATCACAGGCGTTGGGGCATCTGAAATCCCTGTGAGAGGCTGGATCGTCCCGTTTGTCCAAAAGGCTGTCGAGCCCCATTGGTGCGTTAAGCAGTTTCAGTGGCAAACGGTTCCGTATGGCATAACAGAGGAATAAGAGGTAAGCATTATGTGAATGCTTGACTAAAAAGATGCGTCTTTAATCGCCAGAGCCTCGGACCGTATTGGGAAGGCTATTCCAGAGTTTTGGAGCTAAATGCGAGAACACCCTCCCTCCTTTACTGGACTTCGATATCCTAGGAATGACCTGAAGCCTTGAATTTAGTGATCTTAAGGAACGCGGTGGATTGTAGGGCGAAAGAAGGTCCGTTAAGTACATAGGAGCTAAACCATTTAGGGCTTTATAGGTCAGTAGTAGTATTTTGTAGTTGATACGGAACTTAATAGGTAACCAGTGTAGAGATGATAAAATCAGTGTTATATGATCATATTTTCTTGACCTAGTACCCAGGTAGAAGGTGACGTTCCCGCGACCATAGGTAACGTTTCCTAAAAGTTCTCTAAAGGTGACGAACATTCCAAACCTTTACAGAACATTAGGGACGTTCCTGAAACGTCCTCTTTTGGTAATGAAAGTGCTGCAGTTCAATGTTCCTTTAATGACTTTAGGGGGACGTTCCGTAATGGTAATCTTATGGTCACATCACAACGTTTCAAAGAGGACATAATCAAAACGTTCTCATATGGGTCTAAGTTGGTCCTATTATAACGTTCCTTATAGGACTTTAGGGGGACGTTCCGTAATGGTAATCTTATGGTCACATAATAACGTTACAAAGAGGATGTAATCAAAACGTTCTCATATGGGTGTAAGTTGGTCATACAATGACGTTCTATATGTGACTTTAGGAGAACGTTCCATATTGGTTATTTTATGGTCACATAGCAACATTACAAAGGAGACATAATAAGGACGTTCCCATATGGTTGTCTGTTGACCATATGAGAACGTTTTGTGACTAACTTAATGAGAACATTCTAGGATGGGTCTAAGTTGGTCATAAAAATAACCTACCTTATAGACCATTTCACAAGATGTAAACAAGACTGGTCCTGAAGCACTTCCTGTTTCAGTTTGTAACTGTTTTCTTTATTTCACATGTAAAGAAAACATCTCAAAGATGTTTGTTTAACTTTTTGATTCAGTTTTAAGTGTTCTGTTAGTTGTATTTTATCCCAGCTTTTTTGTAGTGTTAAAAAACTGAAACAGGAAGTGCTTCTGGACCAGTGTTGTTTACATCTTGTGAAATGGTCTATAGGACTTTATAGGGACGTTCCATATTGGTTATTTCATGGTCACATAGCAACATTACAAAGGGGAAATAATAAGGACGTTTCCATATGGTTGTCTGTTGACCATATGAGAACGTTTTGTGACTAACTTAATAAGAACATTCTAGGATGGGTCTAAGTTGTTCATAAAAATAACCTCCCTAATAGGACTTTAGGGGAACATTCCATATTGGTTGTTTTATGGTCACTGTAAGGATTTTGGCCAGGCGAATCAAATCCACCCCCAGGGGTTTTCTGAAACACACACACGCACACACAAGCCTTTCCCTTCCCCCACACATCGGAATGTGTGGAATGTCTCTGAAAAAAAGAGAAGGACTTTTGGGTTTTAAAGACATTCAACAAAATGTTTTCAATGGTTTTTATGTATATGTGTCTTCCCCATGTCACAGTTAAATAACTTTGTTTGGTCACAGCGTAAATAGAAATTAAAAATACCTTCGTCATGCATGTGGTGAGGGGGGCGTGGTTGGCACGCTGTCTGCACGGAGAGATGAGTCAAGGGGCTGTGCGGTGGGTAAGTGGATCAAGGACAATTGATAACACCTGTGTCTGATTCCAGTGATTGGTGTGGAGAGACGGTTAAAGCCAGCACAGTGGGAGAAGAACGGGAAGAGAGAAAGGACTGGGACTTGTGCAGCGATCGAGAGGAAAGAGTGCTGGCGAAAAGCAACGAGAGCTGAATCAGCGTGGAAAGAGTTTGATTGAAGTGGTGCTGTGCTGTAGAGAAACTACGGTGAACGCGCTTTGTGCGCGCCTTTTGTTTTGTTTGATTCTGAGTTAATAAAGTCTGTACAAGTCCCAGTATCGCCGA